TATCCGTAGACGACGGGTGATTCCCATTGTTTTACAGTCGTTTGGCCTAAATTCGACGTTCCGGTTGACAAAGTCCACAAGATCCTAATAATTTTATTTCAAGAGACTCCTCCAAACTCAACTTAGATTTAGATGAAGCAGCGAATATAACCTCTCCTTTATGGCCTCCCTTGGATTACCTTAGGATTAGCTGGTTATATTTTAATTGATATAAGATGGGTGATCAAGTTCAAATACCTTTTTTCCAGTTTAAGCGTAGACTTATCCTCACCATTTTTATTTTATCATAGGTAATTTCTTATGGAAAATATATAAATACGTTGTTTATTTTAATAGACATTTATAAATTCTTAGAGGGGTAAATTTGTGGCATAATAATTTTTGTCTCATCAACGAGAATGTCTGTAGCACAAGGCTGTAGGGCTGTAAAAAAAGCATGTAATCAATCACTATATGAGGCAATGTAGCCCTCTTGATGGGCTGCTTGGCATTATCTTCATCTATCTCCAGTCTCACTCAGCTAGATTCTTCCGGTTCGGTTTCCTGATCTGTCGTGCTACTTTCTGCAGTGATCTCATTTTCCGGAGTGTCACTAAGGCCTTCTGTCGCTGTTTGAGCTGTTGAGGGACTTGAGGTTTCGTCTGACTCGGGATTGACTGTCATCGTGGAAAAAAGAGTGGAGGAAAGAGTGGAGGAAAGAGTGGAGGAGATAGTTTCAGGAGTAGGAGGATCGGTAGAGGAGGAGACTGACAAGAACTGCGAGGATGTGGGGGAAGCGGTAGATGAGGGGAGGGATTCGATAGCTGAGGGAGGAGGTGCAGTAGTGGAGGAGAGTGACACGGTAGAGGAGGATAGTGTTGAGGCAGACGAGGGGAATGACGAAGTCGAGGAAGAGGAGGCTTGTTGAGTGCTCGATTGGCTTGTTGGCTGCTCGGATGTCAAGTCGCTTGCCTGATTCGTTTGGCTCTTGGTGTCCCTAGGTGGTTGAGTCTTGGTTTCAGTTGCTGCGGTGCCAGGGGTTGGAGAGGCGAGGTGCAACAATTCTATTTGGGCACGCATCACACGGGCCATTGCGTCAGGAAGAGGACGACAGGGGTTGGCAGACAGCTGCTTCTCAATGGGCTTTCGTATATCCTTAGACAGGCTTTTGAGAGCCTTGTTCCACCAGCTGAGCTCATTAAGCAGCTGCTTGCGCAGAAGACGATCCAGAGGTCCGAGCGGATATAGTTGCCGTTCTTTCAAAAGTTGACTCTGTAGGGTAGGCGACAAGCGGGACCAGCGCACGTCATGGCGTTCCAAACCGGTACAACTGCTGATGTGTTTTAGGTGGTCTATCTTTGACTTGTGTTGCTTGCCAAAGCATTGCGAGTGCATCATACAGACAAGGAGGCAGCCGAAGACAAAGTATATCAGGCGATTCATGGCCATTCGATCACTTGTACTCCTGATCAGAGAAGAAGGACATGAAATTATTAAAAGCGATAACAGAATTGTGATAGAATAAAGGATGGACAAAGAAGAGAGCAGGAATAAGAGAAGACTAAAAAGGGAAACAGCAAATAACTCAAAGAAAACGAAGTTGACTATGGCAATCATAGAAGTGGGCAGCATTCGTTTACATAACTTGGTCGTGTTGTCAAGTCGACATAGTTGGGCGCACCTGATCCGAAGTCTTCTGCTATAATATTTTTTATAAGTCTCAGTGTCGGACCATGGACTTGGTAAATTCCAAGACATTTCGCCGGCATCGTCAGCGAGTCTTGCCATTCTCCTCACTAAGCAAGCTGTGGACGCCCATCTCTTTCCCCTGTTACATCCTGACTAGATTCATAGTCAAGTTGGTCATAATGCCGGATTTTCATGACATTTGTGATTATCCGTCTATCTGATGATATGACCGCCAGGCCCCTAAAGTTGTAGTTGTTTCTTCGAGTAGACCACACTCACTGAAAGCGTCTTCGCTTGATTCCCTAAACTTCCCCAACCGTTTCATCCTTGCGATCCCTGTTGTAACGATTAACGATAGGTCCTTGATCCAGGCATCTACTTTTTGCCTGTCTCATCGTAGCCATGTTTTCTCCGAGTATAATATTACCGAGTCAGACACATACTCACAATAGTAGATGTGCCATATCCATGTGAACTGACTCAAAGACTACGGCCAATACTATGAGGATAGACTATTCAGGTGACAACGAAGGAATGCGTAAAGCGACATTTTCGTATAAATTATTAATATCCGCAATAATTTTCTAGTAAAGGTTGTCTGTTTGCAAGTTGTTTATTAATTATCTCTTGTGAAGGTGTTGAAGATAGGATGAAAAGCTAGTTTTCCTGTTCTAACTCTACCGTTATCATTTAAGAATTTTATTACTGTATTTCTTTATTATCACCAATGAAGCCATTATTATAATTATCTATTGCATTTATCTTTTAGGGTTAAGTTATAAGATCACATGAGTAAACTGAGATCTTCCATCAATTATTGTGTAAGAAGAAAAGAAATCAAGTTTTCGTTAATTTAATTTTCGAGGGTAGGCTATTCTTGAATAGTACCATAATAAACATAGGTCGCTTAAAGTGATTTAAGGACACATAGTTGAATTCTCCCACAATCACATTAGTAAGCCTCATAATGACATTGAATTTCACTTAGCTTTGTCTCCCAAGAGGCTAATGCATCCCTTCACTCTAAGCTAAATAGGATGTCTAAGTTCTTATTCAAGAATAATGGATAGTTTTAAAACCTACTCATTTGGCGAATTCCTAGCTTAGACCCACCGGAAGCCAAATGGAGTTTTCATTTAAGCTCTGAATACTTATTTAATCGTCGAAGTCCTTGTCACAACGTTTTACCGAATTTTTCACGGGAAAAGAAAATTCCAATGACAGGATATAAGTAAACAAACAAAAAGGGCTTTCGATGAATCTCCTGA